ACAAACGTTTAAATTTCCTATCAATCGTTGTCACCTGAAAGCTTATCGCAGGCCTGATCATTTGAAACACAGCAAGACATAAAAAACACCAACCCATCGAGGCAGTCTCTTCGGCCATCACACAGCAACTCTGGGGAGAGACAAGTTGTGACACCTCGCATTCTGCAGTACAGTTCATCCCTTCCACAGCTAACACACTGTGCCTCATCATCACCTCCTGGAAACAATGAGTTTTTGGTGCATTAAAGGAGTCTGATATCGTTCTCCTAGACACAAGGAAATCACTAATTACGAAACCTAATCACAGCCAGTAGTTCTCTAGCCTGTCCACATCTGAATCAAAGAAGAATCTGTTTCTGCTTACCTTTACAGTCAGCGTCCCCATCACACACCCAGTGCAGAGGTACACAAACATTATCTTCACAAGGGAACCCATCAAATGGACGTCCATCATCTCCATAACACACGACCGTCTGTGAACCCCTCAGTGTTCTCCAGAGCTTGTTTCTTGCTAATGGTTCAAATTGTTGCCTTGGTGATAAACTGATATTGTGGTTGAGATTATACGGTAGAAGAAAGCTTCTAGGAAACCAAAGTGGTACAGAAGCCAGTGGAACAATCCTAAAGAAGAACACAAGTAGTATGAATGAAAGGAGTGTAAAATGGCAGTGTTATGAATACTATTAGTATTACTAATTCCCCATCGCAAAGGCACATTTAGTAAGTTTACTGAACACTGTGGCCCAGTCATTGGCAATCCTGCACTTTGTATTCATGAGGTCTTGAGTTGAAATCTCAGTCCACAGGCCAGCTTTCCTGACTGAGATTTCTGCCATTTTCCTCAGTCCTTCCAGGGAAATACTGGGGTATTGATAAATACATTATATTTGTCTGTTAAATCTTTAACAAAGCGCAACCATCCTCTTAACTTGAAGTGCATATGACACTTGGTATTGACATATACAAACCACTAATCCACTTCAAGTGTTTAACAGAGAGAGAAATTATTCACACAAATCGGGGGGGGGATACTGACAAGTATGGTGTTTCTCGCTGAAACAGCCCTGTGGACACGTCTGTCTGCTGTTCATTCTTCATACTGCGACTACCATGAGGAAGAGGTGAAGAGTCGACCAAAGTTGCAACTTGCAGAATGCAGAGGAAAATGGCTGCTACTGGCATTTTTGGCATATAATTTTCTTTGTTGGTTCCTAGCATGTCGCAGTGTTCCTTGCTGAAAGAAAAGAAAATTATCTGACAGTACATAAAAGTATGTCTACTGGGAGGGGGAATGTACTTTGCACAAGTTAAATTATAAGAGAAAGGAAGTCATACTTACCTCTTAAAGACTCAACAAACAGCTGAGTGGAACAAACCAGACACTTAAAAGGTCCAAAGAAGATCAAGAATTGTCAACACTACAAGTAAGAAGACACTAATGTCAGAAACCACATTTTACTGCTCACAGATTGAAGCGTTCACTTCTGGCAAACACAAAACTTTGAGAACCAACCACCATGACCACCATTTTCACGATCATACTCTCACCGTGACTAACAGAATCCACTCTGTGGGTGTCCATACATCAGGAATGAATTCAACAGCCATGCAAAGGTGAGCAGAAGACACATCATCACAGCCCAAACTGAAGGCACCAAATGCAACAAACCATATTGTAATGTGCCATGGTGACAATCACTGCTTATCATTATTATTATGTGTTATGTGCATAAAATGAGCACATACAGCACTAATCATGATTCAACTTGAGAATCACTTGACAGATTTAGATGAAATTTAGAATGGGCGTTATGCTGTAAAATCTCGCTTTCTAATTTTGTACACTGGATAATACAGTGTAAGTTCCTTACCTTGTTTGTTAATATGAAACCACAGAGAGCACTAATACCTGACAGTGTAGTGCTGTAGCATCCACTTGGAACGCTCACAAAGTGTGGTGCTTACAGAACCTTCCATTGATACACTGCAGGCCTAAAATACAGGATGATTAAAAAGTAATATTATAACATTATAAAATATGACCCCATATTGTCATCAGTTAATAATTTAGTACTGCATGAGAAACATAACTTTAAAATTATGCACCAACACAATTTCCATATTGCCTCCCATCACACCTAGCTGAAGACTATTGTGTAACTGTACCTTCCACATTACGTTTACTCTCGTTCTGTACCCAGTACTAGTTAAAGAGATTCTATGTTTATGACCACTTTCTATACATGAAAGCCAGAATTTTCTCTTAACACTCTTCAAAGGGCTCACTACATGACACTGAACAAATCGGCAAATCAGACTCATAGGGCAGCAACGAGCAAGACAAATCTGAATGCTTTCTCTCTCCTTCCATACCCCTGCCTACTTACCATTTATGATTATCTTTCCATCTAATTCAAACATAACTCCACAGTAGTGCATTATACAATCTAAGTTCAAACAAACCTTACGCACATACAAAATTAAATGAATGACAACAAAATCACTCGTGTTCATACTTTGCACAGTGAGGTGGTAAATCATTTTTCTGGTCACCCAGTTGATATACTGTAAGAACAATAGACTGGCAGCTACTCAGTCTGAGATGAAGAAGTGTGAATAAAAAAACTGTTCCTCCTCATAGACTCTGAAGCTACAAAAGAAATCCAATCAACAGCCAAGGTCAACCAAAAGGAACAATGACCAGATTGCATTCTGGGAGACTTATCTTACAGGCTTCAAGATATACAATACTTCTGAATTCTACGGAGCAGAAGCTGAGAGTCATTGAGCTAGCTAAGGAATTCCCCATCTTTTATGGAACTTGAAGGTTCAATACTGCCACACCTTCTTTCTGTATGATCCATATTAATACGATCCTCCAACATATATATTGGCAAATTGTTATGTATTTAGAAGGTCAGTGACTTCTTTTTGTAAACTGTTACGCACAACCAAACCCTTGTCTGCAAATACCAATATATTTGAAGCTACCCTCAAATCTTCGGGTAGTCTCCATCTGTAATCTGAGGACATGAAGAAGTGTCTCAAATAAACGTGTTATGAGATGAGGTACTTCATAATTTGGGCTGGTGGTAATAAGATGAGGTACTTCATAATTTGGGCTGGTGTCAATAGTGATGTAAATCACTTTTTTATAGGGAACAAATTAAAGTTTAAAAAGTTGTGTCCGAGAGATGGGAGGGTGGGGCACAGAGGATAAATGGAGATGAGAAATGTTTTAAACATTTGAATTTTAAAAACTAAAGAGAAGAGACCACTTTGAAGACCTAGGAAAAGAAGGAAGGATAATACAAAACTGGGTGATTATTTATCTCATTTGAATTTCTTTTAGCCAAGAGTTTCTACTTGTCATAAACTCCTTCCATTGAAAGGAATTTCTCACAATTAACCATCTGCCTGGCACCCATCAAGTGTGGAATGTGCCTTCCTTGATAGCGGCACCGTGGAAACACCCATGCTCTGTCAGGAAGAAAAGTTCCCTAATTTTTATTCTGCACTGATATACCATCTTCTAGCTACTACCAATCAGGTGTTTTAGGATCCCTTTAACTGAGACTCTCATCAGCCAATGAGATTAGAGAGTTCAGTATGAGCCTCCCCATAAACTATGGCAAACAGATAAAATGTTATCGCTCACAGCCACATAAAATGGCAATAATATCACAGCATCCATCACACATCAGTTTACATTCCAAAGCTAAACCTGTTTTCAAGGTTACAATGTCTTGTTCCAGTGGGTTTTTTTTTACAATGTTTACAGCAGATGGATGGGCATGGTGTAGATGACAGGCTGAACATGAACAGTGAACTGGAACAGATGGGGAAGGAAGCGGACACACCCTATTTTAAGTATTCACCTGGAACATAAAGACAAGCTATAAAAACCCTCAGTAAGGAGAAATACAAGTCAGCAATAATTTGAACCAAAATTAAGGCACATGCGCAACTGCTCGGTCGGCTGCAACACCCTGTGACGAGATGAAGATGAGGCACGGACAAGTAAATATATACAGCAAAGAATTCCTTTTGGCGCAAAGGAAAATAGGGAAAGTTGTATACTGAAATTAAATTAAATTTCATATATACATTCATCTTTATTATCCTCATCTACTCAAAATGAATTACTCTACAAGTTACTAGGATTTCATGGAGCAGAATAAATTTAAATGTACATACAGTATGAAAAATTAACTGAAATTTATTTTTGAAAAATTTTGAACTCATTTTTTCCTAATATAAAAAGGTAATAAATATATACATTTTCATTATACACACTATCTTCTGCGTGACTGTTGGCACTATAAGCTGACTCACATAACTCCCGTTGTAGTTCCAGGGTCTTCACTTTTACTCTCAAGAGAGAAGGGTGGGATCCGACAATCAAACGTGTAACCATCCTCTCGCTCCATGCGGAACGTACCCCTGTACAAGACAGTCACCTTCTACTTCACTGGCACAAGAACAATAAATACACAAAACTAATAGGATATAAACCGGCCAGAAAAATAATTGGGTTAGAAATAAAAGTAAAAGGAAAGCTGTCCCACTCCACGCCATGTGGGAGCTTGGGAGGGGAGGAGGTACAGCTCCTACTCATTCTTAACCCTGACATTATATAGGGGTGAGTGGTCAGGGTCACGCCCTAGCCAGTATTAGTTTTGTTGGGCATTTGGATCTTGCTACCACAGAGTTAATTACTAATTAATTCTTAACTGGCCTTGAAAACTGTCAAACGGTCAGAATATTGAAGCATGCCTAACGGAAAGCAGTATTATTTACTAGATTAATCTTCATTTTGCTCCTCACAAATTGTTTAAAATAAAAAAAATTATACTACAAGCATTTGCTTCTGCTCTATGCAAGGATTCTAGCAGCTTTATTTTTTTCTCACCACATGTGTCCACTGGGAGCTTGCAAGCTAACATGGCTGCTGTATTGAAAAGCAGGTAAACTGCTAGACAGGACAGGCTCTTGGCCCACCACTCCACGACCTCGCACAGTCTCTAATGTCCCGGACAGACTGAATATCCTCCAGTGTCTCTCCCGCAACTGCACTGTCAGGTCTCCCAGGTTTTCCAGTCGGATGCAGTAGCGCCACTGCAAGTATCACAATTGCATAAAACAACATCCTATTCATTATATATAACTTCAAACCTAATCCAATCATTATTTACATTGATAATCCTGTTTCAGGTAAGAGGATCCATAAAGCCTCGTTAAAACCGATAGCACGGACAGTGCAAAGACACGATACTGCACTGCATTAATGGCTATGTCCGCTATTCACTTATGATGAAATGACTGTACATATTTAATATGTGAAAGCATAAATTAATGCAAACAATTACAATCTTTCACTCAAATCTACTTTTATAACACTTCCATAACTAAATGGATGTTTGACAAACTTCAGCAAAAGTATAAATCTAAGGGTGTTTATGAACATTATAAATCTTATAAAATGGATCCCTGTAGATCAATGGTATCAAATGACAAAACTGAACACAAACCCAAAACACAGAGGTGGCCTGCGATTCCCGACAACCCATGTAGAACGGAATCACTGTAATACGAACATTCTCCGTCGTCTCCTTGTGCACATCTGAGAGTTCAAGCCACGGGTGGTTCTTCTTCTGCCAGGCACGCAATGTTTCCTGTGCCCCAAATGGAGGATCTGAAAATAAAATTAGTGATATGAAGACATGCATGTACCCGCAGAATAAACTGAGGCGTGCAGAGAAATCCCAGCAACTCACAGTAATGTCGGTAACAACAATGCTCTGAATGAGGCCCGAGGGGAGTGCCTCAACAGGGGCAGAGACTGACGTCACATCACCACAGGACTTCTGCTTTGCTCCTCCTATCAAAGCAGAATAGAGCCCTGGACCTTCCGATGCACCTTATGACAGTGACTGCATCATTTCGTTATGGTTTTCCATTTCTATTGCAAATTTTGCACTTCAATATAAATTTGAATAACCTCAACAAACTTTACTATTTACCTTTATCTGGATAATACATAAGAAACTTGTCAAACAGCTCGTGCTGCAAAGGCTGCTTCTCTGTTGTAGTATATGGAAGAATGTCCTCGTGGGCAACATAGTCCAGGCCCGGGATCGCATAAAGACTGCGACTACTGTCCTGGTTACCGAGGAATGTCACAGCTTCTGTCTGGGCCCGCTGCAATTGTTATAAAAGTAAATAACTGTATGTGGTAAAGAGAGGGCAAATTATGAGGATAATCACCACCTAATATAATTAGAAAAATAAATTAAAAATAAGATAATAAATGGGAAGGGCATACAGCAGTCACAGGGACACAACAATTTCATACAAAATTTTGGTTGGGAAACCTTACGATAAAATACCACTTTGGGGTAAAAGTGGGAAGTAAAGTTAAATAAATGGAAGTGACAAGACAATAATGAACACCTTAACAGGGTAATTATTTAGTACAGAATACCATACTGTATCATAAAGCAAAAGTAAAGCTGTCCCACTCTATGCCATGTAGGCACTTGGGAGGAGAGTAGATATAGGACATTACTGTAACATGACGGTTACATTATACACATCACACAGCCATAATTTATTTTTCCTTTAGAACTTCTTTCCCTGAGACTACCGAGTTGAGATTTCAACAACTCTATAATTGCCTCTAGCCAAAATACAGAGGGAACATACAACAGTGTTCCTTAATTCACTTGTGCGTGTCAATACCTACAATGTAAGGGCAATCCCTGGAGTCTATCAACACTTGATAGAAAGTGTGAGTCTGCCCCTTCACCTCCTTCCCCACATGACTAAAGTTTGCATCATCGTGGCTGCAAACAAAATCAAACACATTTAACTAACAAATTGTAGATACAAAAGGCTTTGGTTAATTCAGTGATCAATCTTAGGTTACATGAGTCATCTCATTAGTTAGTTAATAAAACTTGCAATTTGAAACTTTTTAAATGCTTGGGAAAAAAGAGCAATTTGTCATAGAATTTGCTGTAAGGTAAAACATTTGTTAGATGTCAAAAAGTTAATAACACATTTTAGTTATCACAACAATTGGCAGATAAATGAACATTTAAAAAACACATACCTATCTCTTTTGTTAGGTACATCCCTGTCATAGACTCTTGCCAGCCAAGGAAATAACACCACACCTCGATAACCAAATACTCGATGTAGAAACAATTGTCCAGTGTCGTATTTACCCTGAACTTTGGGTGTTTCCAATCTACCAACTTCGGCTAATCTGAAATCATCCAAGGCAATTCATTAATAGTATATCAATAAAGCTTGCTGAACATTACATCCCTGAAGACACAAACGATACAATTCTGAATATCGTAAAATCAAATTAATTAACTGAAATGCAACATGTATTTCCATTATAACTGCGTTTTCTTACATTTTGTAGTCAAAATGTCTCAATATTTCAAGGTTATAAAACGCATCGCGTGTGCAAACAAATAACGTCGCTAAGTACAAACGTACAGTAACTCACCTCGTGTAATGCGAAGATTGAACTGTTAATATTCGAATGGATACATCTAAAAGGCTTTTCTTCAGACGCTTTGTTAGTCCCACTATCAATTCCATTCCTATCAGCTGAAAATTGCAAACAATAACATACACCCTCTCTCCCCGGCCATGATCGATAACAGTTTAGCCAACTAGATAGAAGTGTCACCGCATATTCGAGGCGGAAACGAAGGAGTATAATCTGTAAACCCCTATCTAAATGGAAAGGAACTTAATCAAGATTGGCTACGTATGGGAGTCATGACACGGAATACCGTCGTGATGATGTGGATGAATATCAAAAAACCACTTTACGAAATTTGTTTTTACCGATGTCTTTGGCTACGGTAAAAAATATGGCTATCGAAATTTCGTTAGGTTATAGATTACATTAGTTTATATGTGCTTCACGGTTCATCAGACTATGTGAAGTACCTCCTCACCAACCCTACATCCAAATATAATCACTCCTATGCACCGTGTTCTCATATACCCTCAATGAAGTCAAATTCTGTTACTTGAAAACTATATGGTTCACACAAAAAATGCTTCCAATAAAATTTGCTGGTGGCACAGAAAAGACATTTCATATAATTTTTTTTAATACCATTAAATCAAGGGTGATATGGGCAGACAGCAAGCAGGAGGGGAATCAATAAACAAGAAGGAAGTTATACATAAATTTTGCCTTCAAAAAACAAGAATACTCTGGATACATGGCATTTATAATGGGAATGGATGATGGCAATACAGACCAAAAATGAGCATTATGTAAGTTTATTGCTCCATGCCTCAAAAGACTAACATGTTTTGAACAAAGAATTATTTTAAACTATGTAGCAATATAAAAACTGAAGCTTTACATTCATTGTAGTCATATGGGTATTGCACAGATTCAACATGGCAGAAAATGAAATGTTTCATATTAATCTCCTGCATTCTTCCGGATCCAATTCCTCTAAAACAATGGAATCTTGTGGCATGATACAGTAACCACATGACTATACACTGAATACAAATGACTGCTATGTCAAGTCTCATGACACATATAATTTTGATAAAACTCTGACTTTGGTCAGTGGAAGATGAGTATAATGAGCTAGGAAGCATTCCAATGGTTCTGTGCAATTATTTTACCTCCTGTTAGCTGAAAGACTTTCACAGTATAAACATCAAAAGATATAACATAAATACAATCACATCAAAAAATTTAGTATACAAACTTTTGATAGGTATGAGTACATTCACAGTTTTCATTAGTAATAATAAAATAATAATCCGTGGCGTAACAGCCCTCTGAGAGCCGAAGCTGACTAGCTGGCCTCATGTTCACATGCCTAAACAAGTCTGTGCAGAACAAGACTTCACAAATGGGAAAACGTACTGGGACCATGTTGGTCATCTGGGTTGTTATGTCACATGGACTTGTAGACAGATACCAATGTTTTGGAGGAATATACTGCCTCAGCCTTAAGGGAAAGTCACATGGGTTCCAATCCCTGGGCACTTCTTTCTGTATTCTTCTCCAAAAACTTTTTCAGATGAAATCTGGGAAGATATTCAGTTTACTTCAAAAATGTGGTGAGAAAAATATAAATGGAAGACATTAAACTGCTGAAATGTGTAAAAAGTATATTCTGAGAAATCATATGAAGACTTTTAAGCATATAATAAACAAGTAACATAACTTTCTTTTAGTGTGTAATAACAGTAAAAGTGAATCCCTAATACTAGTTTTTAATTCACACTGTAATTGTAATTTCATTGTAATCTGAAAAGCATGTCATTTATAATTCCTTCTGCTGAATGATGTGCGCACAGTATACTTCCACAGTCTTCTTTCTCAAACAAACTGATATGCACAGATCTAAATGTAATAAATAAAACCAGAAATACTGTGTAATGTAATCATACTCACCACTGGAAGCCAAATAACCTATTGTCAGCAAGTAGTGTGCTTATTACATATACTGAGTATTTGAATACTTTTACAAATCAGAAGCAAACTGAACAATAAATATTTGTACACATAAATTCAAAATAACAGTCTGGCATTAGTACCAGTATTAACTTACTGAATGACTTACTCAACTAACATACATATGTCCCCTGAAGACGACATCTGTACTGTCACACACTTAAATATCACTGGGCAAAATTGATGAGGTACAATCCCTCAAAATTAATTTATTTTAAAACTGATATTACTGCTTGGCAATGGTTGTGATCTACATAAATCCCTTGATTAGTTACTTAATACAGGTGTTGAACAAAAAACATTTTCAATCAAGATCCCCCCCATAGTCAGAATTGATGCTCAGGTGCAGATCTGGAAAAATTGATCCTGCTTTTATTAGTAACATAACTAACTAGATGGCTTACCGAACCCGAAGGTTCATCACCGAATTAACGAAAGCCCTCCACCAGACCCTGTCCTGGGCCAAATAATCCAACCCCTTTCAACTCCTATCTCCCGTAGATCCCGCCTGACATTATCCTCCCATCTACGGCTAGGTCTCCCCAGCAGTCTCTTCCCCTCAGGCTTCCCAACCAATACCTCTATTTCCATCCATGCATGCTGCACACCCCTCGGGTTCTACTAGCCTCACGTCTCACGTTACATAGATTATCCGCATTTGTTTTGTTTGGGTCCTGCAACCAATGAAATTTTGTTTGCTTCCTTCGATCTATTAATTTTGAACATTCTTCATCAAACCATAGTTTATTTTGCTTTCTCTTGTAGTATCCTAGTTTCTCTTTGGCTGAAATTTTGATGCAGTTTCTGACATTCTCCCACTCCCTGTTGATGTCCACACTTTCACTATCTTCATTTGTCCCTAAAATTTGAAACCTATTCGAAATTTCAACTTGACATTGTTCCTTCACCTCTCCCTCACTTAATTTTTTCAAATCAAATCTTTCTGTGTCGAAATTTTGCTTAGTTCATCTACTTACTGAAAGCCGCTCCCTCACTTTTGCTACCATCAGTGTCACAATCTGCTCCTCTGAATGACCTCACATCAATTACATTTGTCTGTCTTCTATTATCTACTAAAGCATGATCTATCTGATTGTGTGTGCTGCCATCTGGAGAAGTCCAGGTGTATTTATGAATATCACGGTGTGGAAATTTTGTACTTTTTATTACTAACATAACCTCATATATTTAGCATTTTGAAGAAGGAATGTTTGTTTTTGAGTTGGCAATGGTACTAATTTCATGACAGACAAATTCCACAAAACTTTTACGAAATTAAGCACCCAATAATCGATCACAAAATTATGGCGAAAAAGTGTGCAAATTACATGAGTAAATAACATAATTTTCCTGGTGT